AAGTTGCACAACTGTGGAGATAGATTGCAATTAGTGAGTGGTGAATTTGAGGGGCGAGTAAGTTGAATTGATTTTTTAGAAGCTGAATCTAATAGGCATATTTGAAGTGTTGAATTTTCGATCTATTTGAAACTGAGGAGTTTCAGCCTCAGCTAAAAGAGGATTCAAACTTTCAGCTCTAAATAATTCAAATTCTACTGACACAAATATCAGCCCATAGCACTGGAGGTGGGATGGCTGGGGGTGTTTGGCCAAGAAAGAAGTAGCTAGTTTTTAGTTTCTCAGGAAAATGTGAAAGCAAAAATGTGTTTCAAGGGTTTTCATTGGCCATATGCTGCTGTTGCTTACAGTTTCTCACAGTTTCTCAGAGCCTGGCTTTGATGCTCTTTAAACTAAATTAATACTGTGAAGAGGATCCTTTATTTGTGGTCATTTTACAGGAAAAAAGAACTCTGCTCAGTTTTACATTTCTAATAAACATCAGTTCCAACAAAACTGAACCTCTATAATAGTAATATAATTACTGTGGGGTTGTCATGCAGGGTAAGCGGGTCTATATGTTTCTCTGGGAGAGGGTCAGTCTTCTTGAGCTGCATATTCAAGGGCATTTTTGTGTGGGTCGCTGCAGGACAAGAAGACATGAGTTACCATGCACATGGCTCGCTTACATATACTGTTCACTGCTGACTCCACAGTGGGTTTGTAGGAGCAGTAATGTGGGGGTATTTCTAGAGTTTAGGTTGCAGCTTTAGACAAATTTCAGAAAAATCCCAGGCATTTTAAATAGGAGATACCTTTACTATCTACAGTACACTAAGGCAAGCTCATACCCAAATGTTTTTGCTAGATGTTTTGAATCAGGCAGTTGTGGCTTTGTTCTGGTTGTCTGTCCTCTACTACTGGTTGGACGATCCCCCCAGCCTGTAGTCATTAGTAATGTGGGTTGGAGTCCCAACTATTTCGAAAGGCTCCTATTTTTAACTAGTCACATGACAGCTGCATTCACACGACTACTGTACTTTCTCTAACAGTGGCTGTATCCTGTAGCCTTTGCGGCAGACCTCTGTTGTGAGGGTCACCACTGCTGCTTGTGTGTCATGTCTGCTCCTGTACAGGCTAATGGACAGATGGTGCTACCTGCCAGTGTCAAGGCTGTCTTATACTGCTGTGATGGCTATGCATACAGTACAGAAACAACAGCATGGAGGCACATCTATGTGATACTTGCGTTAATAAATGTGTGTATTCATCTACACCTTGATTTGTTGTTGTTGTTGGCCTGACTGACTGTATGTGTGTGTGTGTGTGTTTAGGATACCTTGGCAGGTGCCTGTGGTTGCATGTTTCGGTCATGAGTGGTGTTCAGGCTGTTGGCAGAGGGAAGCCCAACCCTGATGTCCCGAGTGCACGCTCACACACAAATGTTGGCAGATGCATTCACGCACACACAAACACATCCACCACATTCTCAGCCACTCTCTTTCTCACCTCCCTCCCCTGCTAACCCACATATGTGCTCACACTCAAACAAACATGAACTCTGCATGCATTGCCATAACCCTTTACACACATCACAGGTGGCTGTGACATGAAAGCAACAAACACCGATGGGTTAAATGCAAGGCATACTGGCACCAGTGAGAGCTCTCTAAATTACAATAGGTCCCTTTAATCTTGGTAATTATCAGAAATGATTTTAATGATTATATTACTGATGATTGTGATAACCTAATGTGTTTAGTGTGCTTTGAGAGCAGCTAAGGCCTGGACTGTTACATCGTCGCTGTTTTCAATAATGAAAAATAGTTTTCTGCTCCCTGCGAGATACAGATAGACCTATCAACCTTGGTGCACAATAACACCCTAATCTGTCACGCTTTATGACATATGCATAATTGAAAAGATCATCATCTGTGCCCGACGCCACCCCTTTTTGTCCTCTGAAGAGAAACAAGCTGCAGAGTTATCCAGCAGAACTAGTTTCTTGGGCTTCACTGTAAATAAACGTTAAGGCTCCGTCCTCCCACAAGGTTACATTTTAAATGTCAGAGGTCTGTCTCAAGGTTTAATTCTCCATTTAGAAATGCTACAGCCTGGTAAAAGAGCACCTGTTATCAGTACTTTTTGTTAGCTCTGACTTGAAGCGGAAAGAGGGATGAAGAGAGAAAGAGAATTTGGTGTTGAATAAAGCAAGAGGTGTTTTTCTTTCCCTTTTTTTTGTTCCTCTTCCAGCGAGCTCGCAGATTGCAGCAAATGTTTTCGATCTCTGGCACTGACCCAATGTACTGAACTATGAGATATTGTAAGCTCAAGGGGGGGAAATAGAGAAATGTTTATAAGCACCTCTGACATATTGCCTCACGGTGAAAAAAGAGCCCAGATAGAGGAAGCTTCAGCAGAGATGGATGAGAGTACAGTAGCAAGCCACAAATTATATGATTCTCTAACTCTTCTTGTGTTTTATCTTATTGGAGAGACCTTTTTTTCTCTGGTATCTTTTTGTCTAATTGTCACTTGTGCCATATTGAATTACTGATCCAGACTTTGAATTTTTTTTAAAGCTACACTGACTCTATTGTAGGTCTAAATACTTTAAAGTGAAGGAGTTGAACTAAGTCCGCTTAGCTGTGTGTGTCTGAATAGAGGCTGAAATCATACAGACAAATACATTCAACGTTCTCTCTTTGTGTATGAGATTTGTGTGTCTGTCTGTTAGTGCCTTTGTAAAATTCAATGTGTGTCAGAGCTGTGCTAGGTAGCTTTTAACTTTACTAGGCAAGTTTACATTTGACTTGTCACTTTCACTTCCACTTGTGATAGATGTCCTCAGTTTAAAGAAGTGTATTGCAAACATAAACAGGGAATGTTACATTTCAGCCACATGTAGCATTATTATCAGAGTGCATTAAAAGCTGTTTCACTCACTCATTGCATCAATCTGCGATTTAATATAAGCTGTTTTCAGGAGCTCAGCTGGAATGTTGACTTGTACTCGCTTCACAAGTTAAGAAAACATTAACAAACCCGGAAGGTAAAACATTTTGTGTTTGTTTGTTTATTAATGTGTCCCAAGTGATATCTCAGAACAGGATTTTGACAAAACTTGAGGAAATGTTCCATTGCACCACTCAAATATTACACTGGCTGTAACTGCAGGTCATATATATCAGCCTGAACTGGATTTAGACATGGAGAATCCATGTTTCTGGCTTTGGTGTGTGTGTGTATGGGTGTGGGTGTGGTGGGGGGTGTTGTTCTGTTTCTGGTAAGGCTCTGTTCAGCTCACTGATGTTGGATTGGTGGCCTGTGGTGTGTGCTGCTTTGTACAGTAGCCCTGATGAACAGAGGGACGTGCTGTGAGGCCCATCTGCTCTCTGGCACTGGGAGAGACAAGGAGTGGGGGACGGGACAAGCAAGGAGGGCTCAGGTTGGAACCCCCCCTCTCACACACATCTCAGTCCAACCACCTGCCTGTCTGTCTGCTGGTCCGTCCGTCTGTCTGTCTGTCTGACTGTCTGTCTTTCTTCTGTGTCTGTTTTTAGACATTTGGGTGCAGTCATTTATATTGGACTGGGCTTCTACAACCACTAAGACTACTACTACTACCACCATTATTTCCACTGCTACTATAACTCTTAATTCTCTCTTTATTAAAATTGTGTTCTTGATTCAGGCCTCTGTGCGATCTCATTTTTATGTGGCAACTGCCGTGTTGGCATTAGCAGGGAGATCCTTTACATCAAATCAAACGCTCCCAGTTTCCTCCTAAGCTAAAATGACAAGTGTGTGTTACTCCACCTGAAAAGCTGTGCACACATCAAAAATATGCTAAATCATGGAAACCTAGTGATGGTGAAAAATAACAAATTAGTGCATTAACCCCATTCTGACAATTCTGTGTTTGTAGCGTTAAGAGATGTTATGCACACACAGTCACACACACAGTCTGCTGTGTGAAACCAGCTGAACAATGACAGTCTATGTTACTTGGCAAGCAAATGTAATGTGAAAACAAATAAATATGATGAAGACAACAATGCTCAGAAAAGTTCATCAGATAATCCTGTCGCTGACCATTTAAACATTCATAGCAGGGGGTTAAGCTCTGATTGTAGTTAAAGACTTGCAGCACACTAGCGGAGCCTATGTACCTAGCCACATGCATAGCTGATGTGCACCACCTCCTCAAAAAAAAAGACCATTGTCTGTGTCTGAAATCACTCCATATTTACTATATAGTGATGTATTTGCTGGCTTTCAGTGCCTCAGTGAAAGATTTTACTTGATTTTGTTTAACATACATGTACAGCTATTTGCACAAAATCTTATTTTCTACTGTAAACACAGAAGATGTTCACAAGTAGAAAATCAAGAAATGGCAATACAAAAATGTGCAATTAGTTAAATCTTAGTTTAAGTACTTTGCACCATGATATCCTTGTGTAAACCTCTCTCCTCTCCAGCATATTAAATGAACCATGGATTAAGTGTGATCCTGGCATCAGGCGCTGTCAGCTGGTTGTGGTGTTATATTGGCTTATTAT